ATGTGACCTTAAGTCGTAGCTGAATTCCTCTGCTGTTTCTGATCACTAGGTGGTGACTGTGAGCTTCTTTTCATTTTCTTTCTACAGGCAACTTTACAAAGAGCGTCTGAACCTCCCTATAAAAGCCATGATTGGCTACCAGTCACATGACGACACGTCCAGTAAGAGCGGCTCCACCACCAAGAACATGTACTCCGTTTGAGAGACCCTCCCCCTGTTTCAACATGCTGTAGATTTAAACAATTACCAATCTGCATCATCACATTAACTTTTGAGTTGTCAACTTACTATAGTGTACTTTTCCTTTTAATGCAAACAAATATTGTTTATAGTGTGTACAGTCTGAGCTTCCCTCAACAAAAGAAGTTAATGGAACCAGGCTGGATGGAGTGTCCGGCTCAAGATGTCTTAAGAGCTAAAGAACATAAATAATTTCCTTTTAGAGGTGAAGAGTTGTGTGAGTTGTATAGTGACCTCCCATAGCTATGCTGAGAGAACAAGCTTTTTCAGTACTAAACTTTGAGTTGAGAAAGAAAACCCTTAACTTTTAAGGCCTTTTTTTTCCTTATGCTGATTTCTCCTCTAAAAAGTATTTCTCACCCCACCAGAAGAGATTATATGTTCTTTTGTTACACAGAAGAAGTTTTAAGGTTTTTAGCTCAATTTATTCAGGAGTGTAGAGCATAAATCAAGATTTCAGGTAAATCAGCATGAAGAGTCTACAGTATCTTAAAGGTTTGGAAAAAGTATGGTCACACTCCAAAGCGGAAGGTTTGAACTTAGGCCTCTTGTTATTTCCGCTACGCTGGAATGGTGGAATACTGCTTGTAGTACTACTTGTTTTGTTTTCTCCCACTTACATTTATTTATAATGTATGAATTGCAGTTACTTAGTTGAAAGACAGAAATGTATTTCTTTTTCCTTTTCTTTGGTTAAGGTTTATAGTGAGGACTACTGCTTAGAGATAAAATTTTTCTCCGTGTTGGCTGGTGTGCTTTTCACTGTTCTCCTAACAGCAACTGTAGATTATATCGCACTCCTCTTGGTTAATGTGAAAGAAAGATGATATTCATTGTGAAATGATTTTGCTCATGATGTATCTTTATCTGTAATTCCAGGATGTATATTACCTTCTTTCAAGTAAAGGTTAAGTGCTTTGCATTAAATCTCAAATTTGTTGTCACTTTTGTAAAGAATGTGGGGGTGAGGTTTGGCTCCATGTCACTGGGGGGACATTGCATCTGAAGGAATTCTAATATAGTAATCATGAGTATATTTCAGAAAATATAATGGGTTTGTTTGCAACCAACTGCCCGTGCAGATGTTGCATACAAATGTAATTATTTTCTCTACATTCATCTCCACAATTATCTATAGTTTCACTAATAATGATAAAAAAACACAGATTATTTTGATAGATTAAGTGACTCTTAAATAGCAATGTTTGCTGGAGTTTGAGCCATTCAAAAAAAAAAAAAAACATCAGATAGTCTAACTCATAATATTCTCTTTCTTAGAAAAGTATATTATTATAAACTTAAATGGCCCGCCGCAGTTGAAAATGGATGGATGAATGAAACCTAAATGTTCAATGTTATGTATTTGCCATAATATAGCTGACAAAGTCGTGGAAAAGATTGCCAACCTGAGGTGAGTCCAGAGATCACAGATAATGATGGTAAACCACAAAATGTCATTGCAGAAGAAGCTGTTTTTTCAGAGTTGTTCATCCATCCACGTTCATTGATAGTTGAGTGCAGGGAAAATGTTGAACAAAAAAGGGGGAAACCGCAGTTTTTACCAGAATTCTGCAAAATTTTGGAGAACTTTTGAAGGGAGAAAACGAACTGAAGCCGTTTTTTTTTTTTTCAATTGCCATGGCAGTATTCTATTGCCAAAGCACAATTACATGCAAACATATATTCCTTTTTTTTTTTCAAATTAATGGGAGTCACATAACCTGTTAAAGAATATTAAGACAAAAAGTAGCTCTTAAGCTAAAAATCCCTGGCAGTAATTTTCAGGTGAGGTCAGGATTTCAGACAACCCAGTAAAAATAATCTCTTTACAGCTTTAACATGCATGTATTATGACATGTATACAATTGTTATATGTATAATTTAGTGCTAATGTCTGAAAGGGGGTATGAAGATATACATCTTATTTAACTATACCCCATTCACCCTCCTATAGTGCATAGCAGCATCAATATTCTCAGTTCCTATTTAATTTACTAGTCCATTCTTTTCCAAGAGTCAATTAAGTTAGAAAATGAATGAGTTTATCTTCATTTAAATATATAGACATTCAAACACATGCCTACTTAAATCTTCATTTATGCAATGAAAGTCTGGAGAAGTGGGTAGGAACATAATCCACTTTATAAATCTAGTACAATATCTCATCCACTGGTGTTGGTCCAACAACATGGATATCTGTGATTACTATGACTGATTTTCCAAGCAAAACTATTTATACCAAATTGTAATTAGAGGTTTATCTGTCTCTTTGTTTTTCACCATTTTATAAAAATCAGTTTATATTTTCTGATGAAATAGCAAACTCTTATTTTTTGAACTGAAGTATATGGTACAGTTTTATTAAAACCATTACAGCTGGATTCTAGTAGCATCATCCTTCGCCTCATGATGTTTTTCAACAAAGCTGAGAGAAACTTTGAAAAACATGCATCATAGATGAAGAGAATCTGAAGGCGTTTCTTGGAAAATTAGGACCTGGAAATCATGCGTTAAAGAGAAACTCTACAAATGAGAATTTGAAATTATTCACATTTTCTATAAAGGTGGGTTTTAGACAAACTTGTACAAAGAGCTTGGAAATGTACAAAAAACCAACACCTCTACAGATGTTCTGTGTTACATACAATTTCTACCAGTTATGACATTCCTTTAAAATCAGTGAGGGACTGTTTTTAAAGAGTTTTTAACCCTTGATTCATAATACATGACAGGTTCACTCTGGGAATGTGCTAGATTAAGCTGACAACACCCTATTGGAAAATTACATTTTGGGACGATGACGTCTGTTTGTTTTAAGTGAGAATGAACAATTAAAAGTGTCTGTTGGCTTTAGTCATCTAGTCAAACAGGATCTTTAGGAGCTGCTGGAACTCCACCCTCCTCCACCTGAGAGCAACATTAAATCCTGTTATATAACACATGACTTTTTAATTTTATTAAAGTGCCTAAACGTCATATCTACAGGTGCTGGTCATAAAATTAGAATATCATGAAAAAGTAGATTGATTTCAGTAATTCCATTTAAAAAGTGAAACTTGTATATTATATTCATACATTACATACAAACTCATATATTTCAGATGTTTATTTTGTTTAATTTTGATGATTACAAATGACAACAAATGAAAATCTCAAATTCATCATATCAGAAAATTAAAATATTGTGAAAAGGTTCAAAATTGATGGCCCCTGGTGCCACACTCTAATCAGCTAATTAACTCAAACCACCGGCAAAAGCCTTTAAATGGTCTTTCAGTCTACTTCTATAGGCTACACAATCATGGGGAAGACTGCTGACTTGACAGTTGTCCAAAAGACGACCATCGACACCTTGCACAAGGAGGGCAAGACACAAAAGGTCATCGCTAAAGAGGCTGGCTGTTCACAGAGCTCAGTGTCCAAGCACATTAATAGAGAGGCGAAGGGAAGGAAAAGATGTGGTCGAAAAAAGTGTACAAGCAAGAGAGATAACCGCACCCTGGAGAGGATTGTGAAACAAAACCCATTCAAAAATGTGGGGGAGATTCACAAAGAGTGGACTGCAGCTGGAGTGAGTGCTTCAAGAACCACCACACACAGACGTATGAAAGACATGGGTTTCTGCTGTCGCATTCCTTGTGTCAAGCCACTCTTGAACCACAGACAGCGTCAGAAGCGTCTTGCCTGGGCTAAAGAGAAACAGGACTGGACTGCTGGTGAGTGGTCCAAAGTCATGTTCTCTGATGAAAGTAAATTTTGCATTTCCTTTGGAAATCAAGGTCCCAGAGTCTGGAGGAAAAGAAGAGAGGCACTTCATCCACGTTGCTTGAAGTCCAGTGTAAAGTTTCCACAGTCAGTGATGGTTTGGGGTGCCATGTCATCTGCTGGTGTTGGTCCATTGTGTTTTCTGAGGTCCAGGGTCAACGCAGCCACATACCAGGAAGTTTTAGAGCACTTCATGCTTCCTGCAGCTGACCAACTTTTTGGAGATGCAGATTTCATTTTCCAACAGGACTTGGCACCTGCACACAGTGCCAAAGCTACCAGTACCTGGTTGAAGGACCATGGTATCCCTGTTCTTAATTGGCCAGCAAACTCTCCTGACCTTAACCCCATAGAAAATCTATGGGGTATTGTGAAGAAGAAGATGCAATACACCAGACCCAACAATTCAGAAGAGCTAAAAGCCACTATTAGAGCAACCTTGGCTATCATAACACCTGAGCAGTGCCACAGACTGATCGACTCCATGCCACGCCGCATTGCTGCAGTAATACAGGCCAAAGGAGGCCCAACTAAATACTGAGTGCTGTACATGCTCATACTTTTCATGTTCATACTTTTCAGTTGGCCAACATTTCTATAAATCCTTTGTTTTTATTGGTCTTCAGTAATATTCTAATTTTCTGATATGATGAATTTGAGATTTTCATTTGTTGTCATTTGTAATCATCAAAATTAAACAAAATAAACATCTGAAATATATGAGTTTGTATGTAATGTATGAATATAATATACAAGTTTCACTTTTTAAATGGAATTACTGAAATCAATCTACTTTTTCATGATATTCTAATTTTATGACCAGCACCTGTATACTGTGTGTTTGTTGGTATATTGTCAACATTTAAAGGTTATTGTACACACAAAAAAACAAAACATTAGCTTAAACATCTTATCAAATCTTTTCATCAGAGCCATCCTTTCCATAAGGTAACGCAGCCAGACCGTTGGAAAAACTATTCACACCCACGTTCATATTTTGCTAAAGTGAAACCACAAATTTGAATGTATTTTATCAAGTTTTTAAATGACACATCAAGGAAAAGTACAGCAAAACTGGGAGATGGAAGGAAGATGGTTTATAAAAGTGTGACATCTGCTTTCAGACTCTGTCTTTCTTTCTATTATTTTGCCAGTTTGTGTTTGTTGCTCATGTGAAATATGGTGCGCTAGTCCTATTACACCAAAACTTAACATTTTGGTGAGGTAGCATCATGCCATGTTTAAATACAGAGTAGCAAGTATTCCTTCCAGCCAGGCAGTAACCCAAAATGTAAAACCTGCGGAATGGTTTCAAATGAGGTCATAACAAACCAATCTATCCAAAGAACAATCCGTGCCAAACTTGAAATTCTCTCTCTAATCTGACTGACCCTGAGCTAAATAACACAAGAGAATGGACAGAAATGTTGGTCTGTGACAGTAATTGCAGTGTAAGATTGTTGCATAACATACTGACATACTTACCGAAAGAATATACATACCACTTTTTTTCATATTTTCTTAGCAATTTTGAAAAATTTATTTTTCCTTCCACCTCACATTTATGCATCAGGGTCTGTCATAAAAAAATCCCACAAAAAATACATTGAAGTTTGTGGTTAATGTGTCAAATATATGGAACAAGTTCAAAGGGAAGGAATCCTTTTGCAAGGCATTGTGTATAAAGCACAAATACATGTTTTGTTCTTTTGCTGTTGCAGTTGGCATTTTAATAAATATATGAGCTAAGAAACAGAAATGCCGTGGAAAAATCCCTCCCAAGGAAAAGGATCCAGGTCCGAGCCATCGCAGGCTGAAACTACATAAAAAAAACACTATTGAAACTTCAGCCAGGATCCAGCCACTGTTGTTACTGATGTCCTTCTTTGTCCTTCATCGCTATCTGTACTTTCTTGCTGGACCCTGGCCGCCATATATCAGGACATGGATATGATCAAGGGCTTTTCCTCCTCCCTTTGGCTCAGCAGGTTTGAAACCATGAATGACGAGAAGAAGAAAAACTCAGCGGTGTAGGTGAGCTCAAACATCTGTATGTTGACACTAAGGCTCCACTCGAACACAGCAGACAGATGGTGGTAAAAGTATTCTTTTTGGACAAACAAAAAGGTATCTGCAGGCTTTGGAGTTAAGGATCTGTTGGACAAAGTTAGATGCATGATAATAACTGGAAATATTGTTTCTGACTGATTGAAAACTGGATTGATCATAAATTATTGGATTTTCTGCTCTCATTCACTCCCACAATAAACTGCCCTAGGAAGGTGTTTGTTAAAAATTAACCTAGTCAAGCTTTTAAGCCATGTCCTTTTAACATGCACTCCATAGCAGTCAGTCCCATTTAGTTAACCAAGAAGCACTATAACCTATAATGTTTTCAGATATATTTAATCTAATCAAGTGTATTTAAATGGGACGATCATGCAAATTATAAACATTCTGTTAACAAAGGCATAATCCCTTCAGCAAACAAAGCTGATTTGGCACCAAGCAGTCTGAAAGGATACAGCCAAGAGTCACAATGATTTGAACCACTGTGAAAAAAATGCGCAGAGGGAAGAGGAACTTCTCGAACCCTGTCAGAACGCACTTCGCAGTCAGCGTGGTGAGCAAGATGGTGTAGAAGCAGGCAGACGTGAAACTGACAGCAGCTCCAAGGTAGTGCATGAATGTGACATCACCTGGCTGTGGAGAGAAATCACAAGTTTTTTTATGATCAGGACAAATGGATGAAGAGTTGAATAAAGGAATATTTTCCTGTGTATAGATGCCATCATTTTAGCAATTGGCTTTTAAACCCATAAATTGTGTAAAATGTATCATTATATTGTCAAATTGTGCCTTTAGATCAATGTTTTTGCAAAAATGTTCTTACTTTCCCAAACTTATGCATGGTTTGCATTTCTTTTTGTTTTTTTCCATTAAGATCTTGCTCATCCAAAAGGGTCTAATACAAAGAACTGACCTTAAGGGATTGAATCTAAATACACACCATATTTATGAACCAATTTGTAAATGTATATAAACATGAACAGTATATATATTTCTATGTTAATGCCAGTAATAAGCTATTTTTATAATTTGGCCTTTTCATTTCCTTATGATGGTAATGCCTGTATTTAAAAAAGAATGCATGTGATTAGTTTAGTAGGGGGGAAACAGCAAATAATTTCTTGACCCGGTTGACATCTTTATATACCTGAATCTAGGATCAAAAGTTATGTATTATTTCTGTGCAACATTATGATCTAGTTAAGAGAAAATAATACATCTCTTGTGCTGGAAATCTTTAAGGAGGGCTTTAAAGAAAATAGTGCTCTGCCTTTGTTTGCCTTTTTAACACAGGTTGTCAATTGAAACAGTTCCGTTTTGATATAAGTATTTATGGCTATAGCTCCTGTTTGTGTAAAGTATCTCTCTGCTGTGCAGGCCCTTGGATTCCTGCTCCCTTTATTATTGCTGAATATTACTCGACAGTAACAATCACTTACGTTACAGTTTCCAGCCCCAAAGGCCCCAATAGCTGCCACTAATCCAAACGCTAATGCAATTCTGCTCAGCATGGAATGGCACATGTGCTTCTCCATTATATGGGCATGATGGAATATGGTGAACAGCAGAACTAAAGAAGAAAGCAGAGTTTAAATGGCACATATCAGAACATGAAGTACACTGCCTTGCAAAAATATTCATATCCCTTTTTCATATTTTACAATCTCAAACTTGTATGTTTCATTGTGGTTTTTAGGGGTTAGAAAAAGATGAATAGATGCATAATCTGCAGAGCGTGAAATCTATTTGTATTACGGTAAGCTCTTTTCAATCAGATGCCCCTAAATAAAATCCATAACACAAAAGGCCTTCAGATGTCAGATCAGGAAGTTCACATAAGCTAAGATCTAACATATGGCCACCACCTGAATTGAGAGGCCAGACAAATGGAACGTTTATCAGAAATGCAGCCAAGAAACTCATAATCCGTGTTTAATTTCATTAGAGTTGGTCCTGGCATTCATTTACTGTTTATAGGCACTTCAGATATAAAGTACAGACATTTTGCTGCTAAACTCACATAGAAAGGTCCCAGCGTTCATGGTTGCTGTAAAAAGGGAGCTCTCTGGAGCATAAGTCCCACTTCCACTGGAATAACAAAGCTTGTTTTATTAACAATGTCCAAAATTCAATTCAAAATAAGACGTTAAGGTTTCAGACTTTTTACCTTATGGTAGGAGCCAAGCAACATCCCTTTGTTTTATTCTCCCTGCAGTAATTCGCACCACTCCTGAAATGATAATAATAAAAAAAGTTGCCATTTATGAGTTAGAACAAAATGGGTTAGAACACTTAAAAGAGAGTAAACTTACCAATTACTGAGTGAGCACACGTGATTGTTGGAGTAAGCCATGCCATATCTGAAAGAAAACGCATCAAGAAAAAAAAACTGTAATAAATATATTTTATTCTTGCATTTGCCAAAAGATTGCAGGAAATAATGGATTTTATATTTAAACTGCACCGCCCTACATGTTTTTGAGAGGTTTCTGAAATCATAACAGAAGTTATAGTTATTTTTTTCAGCAGATTAAAACAGGTTAAACCAACTTATTCATTTTTCATGCAACACTGAAACATGAAACCAGCACTGGTTGAAAATGCTGTTGTACCTGCCTTTGAATGTTAATGGTTGAACCAAATACGGGGGGGGGGGGGGGGGGGGGGGGGGGGGGGGGGGCAGGAGGAAATAAACTTTAAACTCACAGTTCAACTTATTAATTATTATTGAAATCTATTATGTAGCTGATGTATTCAAGATTTTCTTGTCTATCCGCCTAGCACACCCCACGATATACTTGCCAGGTCACATATTTTCAGTCGTTTGTCTCAAGGATACACACAGGGGACATATAAGTTAATTTGTGCTTTTATAACTCTCTATTTTGGATGACTTTTTAAAGATTATGTGTTGCCTAATCTTGACAGAATAATGTCAGGGCCAACTCTTATCAATATAATTTGTCCTCCATCGTGTTTTTATTGTTTTTGCCCATTAATATATACAGGATGCTATCACCCCGGTAACAACGACATTGTTCTGACAGGCCACGTTTTTGTGTACTAAGTTGTTCTATCAGCTTTAAAAAAAAGAAAAACATTTAATTATATCTGCTTAGAAGGTGAAAAACAAATAAAACTATTGTAAATTTGCCATTTAATTCCAGCACACACAAAGCAGCAGACTGTAAGCTGTAAAAATGAAATGTTGTCTTTTCACCAGGATATACAGTCATCAGAGACACTGTCAATAAAAACTCACACGCTCCATGTTCCAATGAAGGACACCAGCGACAATGAGATGGGAAGGATGATCCAGAGCACCATGTCTCAGGGTTAAGGAAGAAGAATGAAATCAAAAACAAGGATTTCTTTTGTCTCCAACACGCTCTGTGTCAGACTTCTGCGCAGGTGTGTGGATTCCTCATAGAGCCAGCAGAAAATCTTCAGGTGAAGTTTGGTAACAAAACCATAAAAACAAACAAAACAAACAAACAAAAATCTGTAGTAAATAAATAGATTGTATATATATATATAGCCTATATATATTTATATATTTTTTAAATAAGCAGTTAGCTATGTGTTGTAAAAGTGAGTCCTCCACAATCAGGAGTCCAGAGCTTCTGTGTACAAGTCTCCTTCTGCCTTTCTGCCACTCCTTTAAAGCACCACCTTGTTCTGGGAGTAAAGTATTGGGACACAGGGGGTTGGCCTTCTTTCTTTTTATCACATTGTTTGTTTTACTCTTAACAGACTCCTAGTGACCATCTTCTGAATGTGGAGTTGTATATTTTAAAGCAAAGTGACCAAAAGAATAGGAGTGAAATCATATTGTAAAATGTGAAGCTAAAAATCTGATGTTTATTTTTTGCAGGGTTTAAATTGTTTGTGATGTTTGCTTAGTTTTTGTTTTTTTGTTTTTCTGTTTTTTTACTCAATGATGGGAAACCGTTTTGAAATAATCTTGTCTTCTGTTTTTGAATTTTTTAACTCTTAAAAGATATATATTATTATATATGTTTATTAAGACTTTTTAAGCAGTGAAAATCTCTAATAATTTAATAACCTAAGCTCCTTCCCTGGTCAATTTTACCGGAAAGTGGTGGGGTGGCACCACTTTTCTATTTTGTTTAAAAAAATAAATCTTTGCACAGGTGATAAAAATCAATATCAGTTTAACTTTATCAGATTTGACAAATATTGTCAGATCATCAGGGTTGGTAACAATCCCTGTCACCACAGCGTATGATTCTAAATATTCTAAATGAATGAATCCATAAATTAAATAAAAATAATAATAATTTAAAAAAAGAAGAAAAAAAATCAATCAATAACCACCAATTAATCTATAATGTATCATCTTTTACGTAACAAAGACATGTTTAGTTTAATTAATCATTTTGGGATTTTGCTGCTGAATTTAAACCCATCTGACAGGCAATGTTTTTTATGGTTGGGGGCTTTAGGAAGTTATGCAAACTACTTTTTTTTTTACAAAGAGCTTTTTTATTTGAAATATTTTATGATTTTTGTTTGATAAATTGAATAAGTCAGGTAAGTAAATTCGTAATAACTTTGAAGAACAGAAGGAAAAGAACAGGACCCTCGGATCAGGCATTCGCGACTATACCACATGGGGTCCTCAACTTCAAAACAAACAAAATGTCGGCGACCATTAGATGGGGACTTCAGCGGCTAATGCGGACCCAAACCAAAGCTTTCCTCAGGTTTTACGTCTCTTATCTGCCCCCAATAATGTGTTAGATATGTTCTATAGCAGATATGATGCATGTAACGGGCTGTCTGACGCCTATTAGTAGCATTATCTTTGTCCGGTGGAGAATTAGCGAGGTACCATGCTAATTGCCAAACCAAAAAGCAAACAACCGGCTTAACCCCTGAAGTCCGTGAATGCGAAAAGCGGTTAATAACATGTTTAAGCTTACAATTTCACCGATTTGTATGAATTACGCAGGTTATTGGTGGTTTATAAAGTTTACTCTGATAAAAGTCTACTAGCACTGATTATCTAGTTTTATCCGCTAAATCACTTCTATCTGTAGTCTTTTTTTATCATGTGACAACGGACGTTGTTAACTGTACCTTCAATCATTACTTAATCCAATAAAACTGAGTATGACAAACTCGTCACGTTTCCACCAGGTTAACAGATCACTCACAAACTACAGTGTTAAGCTTCAGGGGGTTCCTGCGTCATCCTGAGACACGAGCTACATACTTCTCAGGTGAGACACTAGCCTCCAGACTCACATTATGTAAGTTGTGATCTTTTGTTTATCCCTACCAAGCATCTAGTTGTGTCACTTTTTCCAGTGAGAAACCTGTCCATTCAGACTCAAGATACGCCAAACCCAAGAAGCTTGAAGTTCCTCCCTGGGAAACCTGTTCTGGGAAGCGGTACGCTGGACTTCCCTTCCCCAAGCTCAGCTGGATCCTCATCTTTAGCGAGGTAATGGGTCAATATAAGCAATGCACTTTGCTTTGTTGATTCAAAATAGAGTCCCAAACAATGTCCCACTATGCACTGTGTATTAACGACTGTTCCTATCACAGCATTCAGATGCCCAGCAAAGTGAAATCTGTTTTTATCTGAGCACTAAAACAATGATTGTTATGAAAGTAAGTCCAAAGAAATAGCAACTAAACCCAGACTTTAAACTCTTTAAATATACCTAGACGCATACACAGGGTTTCCACGGGTCATTAAAAGTCATTAAATAATTATTTTTTTAAATTAAGGCCTGAATTGGCATTAAAATTCATTAAATGGGATTATTTTTACATTTAAAATGCTTTATTTAAGAAAATGTTTATAAAAACAATTTCTAAAATGATATATATATTTGCAAAAATATTGCTGCTTCCGGCTGATCGTCAAGCCGTATGTCCGGAAAAGAAGCTAAAGGAAAATGCTAATTTCAACAAAAGTGGACGGAAATCAAGGAATTGCAGCCTGCCGAGAGTAAAGATGAAGAAGGAATTTGCCGTGTATATATGAGAGTCATGGGTACTTGTTGCATTAACATTATTTTTAAGAGCATTAAAAGAGCATTAAAAAGCATTAAATTAGAGTTGTTCATTCCTGTATAACCCTGGTATAGTATATACCCAACTAAATCAAAACAGTATGAATTGGTGCCATATAGATTAATGTTCCTCCTTTTGCTATTAAAAAAGCCCTGCCCTGTCCATACTCTGGCTCGATTACTAATGATGTCATGTAAAATTATGTTATTTAACTCACTATGAACACAGTACACAATTAGAGACCTTAAACATCCCCCGATTACATATTTACTTAAATATTTAATATTTTTAGTGTTTTTTGGCTCTTGGAGAATCAGTAATTGACTAAAGTTGTGGGTTTCTGCACAAGAAAAACGCCAAAATTATCTGTATTTTTTGAGAAATCCTTATCTAATTTGAAACCCAGAGGCCACAACTTTAAAACCTTAAGCCTTGTGTTTTAAAGATCAAACCATCATGTAAATCCTTCTTTCAAACACACTATAAGCCAAACCCCTCATCGTTTTTTTTTCCTTTTCTTTTCTTATTCCAAAATGTATTTAAAGCAATTGTGTCTCCTTCAGGGACCTGTTTGAAATTGAGGGAGTGAAAAGTGTGTTCTTTGGGCCCGACTTCATCACTGTCACTAAAGTAAGTATCTCTGCTCGTCTGCCTGTCAATCTCTGCAAAAGTACTTTTTTTTTAGGGGGATAGCAAATGAGATTACGGTATGTTGTTTTTACTGTCAGACGGACGAGGATGTGGAATGGACAGCCATTAAGCGCCATGTTTTAGATGCAATTTCCAAGTTCTTTGAGAGTGGAGATCCAATAACTACAGGAGCAGTGCACCATGAGAGCAGTAAGTTTTTGTTTTAACATCTTGCCCATGACTTAAATGAGCTACTCAACATTTTTGCAATGCTTAATGGTTCCTTTGGTACAGGCCTCTCTGAAGACGATGATGATATTGTGTCTATGATAAAGGAGCTTCTGGACACCAGAATTAGGTACAAAAACTACCAGTTTATCACTGTCTACACTTATCTAGTTCCACTAAAATAATGATAGAATGATAATGTGTTGTTGTAATGGGAAAAAAAATGTCATGCTGACAGTTTCTCCTTTGCTGTTTTGAGGTAATATTCTTGATTAGACTGTTTTCCGTGCTTCTATTCTGTACAAATACATGTTGTCTCTTTCTGACATAAAGACCGACAGTGCAAGAAGATGGAGGTGACGTCATCTTTAAAGGTTTTGAGAACGGAACAGTAAAGTTAAAGCTGGTGGGATCCTGCACAGGATGTCCCAGCTCCACGGTTACTCTGAAAAACGGTATTCAGAACATGCTGCAGTTTTACATCCCAGAGGTGGACAACGTAGAGCAGGTGCCCAAATAACCTTTTTTTTTTCTGTCAATTGGTTTATCTATTTAAATAAAGTATATGACTGATATATTTATTTGCAGTAAATGCTTTTTAACAAGTTATAACAGCTTAACCATAGGAATGATTTATTTAGCCCTCCAGATGCCTTTGTGTCATGATGGCCCCAAGCTAAGTTTAAAAGCAGATCAAGTACTATAAGATATACTTTTTTTTCATTTGTAATTTAATGGTTTTAACCTAACCTGACTTCAGATTTAGAATAAGGTTAAGTACTTACTGTATTTACATTATTATGTAAGGTACAAAAGGATTCCTAATATTGTCTTCTGGTGAATTTGACTTGCCATTGGGTGACAGGCAATGGGGGTTAAGTCTTTTACCCAAGCACACAATGACAACGTTGCAGTTTAAGAACAAACTTCAGCATCATGGGCCACTTTCTCTGCAAAGAAATGCTGGAACTTATAACATCTCATGATTGAAATATAACTATATGCTACCTGGTCAGTATGGTTTTTTAACATCCCATCCTACAGAGATGAGGGGAAAAGCAGGAAAGCAGTGGGGGAAGCACAGATTCTCATCACATATTGTTATACTTTGAGGCTACTCAGAGGCTAAAAAAGGTTCTAGAGCAAACATTTCCCATAATCCTCACTGTCAATATATATTTTTCTTAAAGAAAAGTACGTTACCATTTATACTGAATATAAAAAGTGCACCTTGTACCTTTTGGATTTAGATTTAATCTCTATTTTATATTTACACTTTTTTTTTTATTAACCATAAATTTATCTCATCCCAACAACTTTCCTTTAACTTAGTTTTTACAATGAAGACAACGCAATAAGAATAACATTACTTATGTCTAATCTTTTGCCTAGGTGGAAGACGAAGTGGATGAAATCAATGCAAAGGTTTTTGAAGAAGTGGAGCGTAAACTACAAGATTAAGAACGTCCTTTACAGATGACTAGTTTGTGAAATCGATCAGCCAAAATGTCTGTAAACACAAGATGAAAACGAGTATTCAACTTGTTGATAATACTGGAACAAAAGCTTGAAAGGAGAAAATTATTTCCAGGCTTTTGTTTTTGCCTCCACCCTAGATATTCTAACTGTAATTTGCATGTATATGCTGTTGGCCCCGTTCTTAAACAAAGGTAATATACTGTTTTTTTGGTTGCTAAAGAAAAGTGTCCTGCTGTGATTATTGTAAATGTGGTGTTGTATTTATTTCTTATAAATATTGTATGATAAGAAAGAGATTATTTTGTCAAGATCATGATTTTGTGAAGTTGATGACTTTCTGGAAAATTTGACAGTTATTTCATTTGCTGCTACTTAACACAAAAGGGAAAAAAAGAAAAATAAATGCATTATTATATACATTATTACTAAATTAAATGATGGAAAATGGGTTAAATTACCTCTTGTGAAAGTAGGCTCACATTATGACACCTCCAAGGAAATGAATGTGCATTGTGCTCCACATTGTATTTGTCCTAAATCCCATTAAAGTTCAATTTGACTTTTTCTTCTGTCCTGTGTCTATTACTTAAATTAAAAAGTTGACCATATAGTAAAATGATCAGAACAGTTTTAAAAAGTAGCAGACCTTTTAAATCAGCAAAAATAATAAAATAAATTATACCTACATGACAATTATGGTGCACACATGTACATATATTGTGACAAGAAAATAGGATAAATCATGCCTTTATTTTCCTAAAGTGGTGTCAGGTGTGACAATTGCAAAAACAAGTAGATATTACTCTGTTTGAGATGTACCTGATATACAGCTAAAGTTGAGTTTAGATCGCTCATATCCGAATCGGTCTTTGTCAGCCACGTGACTGACACGCCCCCTAGCGCCATTTTTGTGGTGAGCGGAAGAAAAACAAAACAGCAGAAAACAAGAGGAGAGCGCTGCAAGCCAGCAGCGAGGATTATCAGTTAAATGGAAAAGAACAAGAAAACTGAACGGATACCCTACCCAGACAAACTTTCTAAAGCTGCTAGGGAACGATATTATATATTATTATTACAGTGACAAGGCAGATGTTGTGGGCAGTTGCACAGATCGCTGCAGTTATTAGAGTAGTTTGTGCTGCTCATCAGACTGAACGGAAAAACTTGTCAGAATTTTTGCACATTGATAAGTTGCACACTGTATTTGCTGTTCACTTTACCCAGGCCTGTTTTCACTGGGATCTGCAGTCTTCTTCACAGATATCACCTGTTAGGTCATATCTCTACGGAAGACCACAGTGAAAACAAGTCCAGGGAAAATGAAAATCGTCTAATTTAATCTAAAGAGCAATCTGCTATATACGAGGGAGGAAGACAAAGTAAAACATTTGAAGCTTTGCACTGTTCTGCATTATTTATGTATTTGAGATTTTGTATTGCATTTTCATAAATTCTCTGCTTGATTGAAAAGATAATAACAACGCTTGTTTCAAATTTCAAACTCCACTCTTTATTGTACACACATTTTTACAACTTCAGAAACATTGTTAATATTTGAAGTGATGGTGAAACTTATATTTGTTTTGCTGTTATTTTTCAAAAGTAACTTTAAAAAAAGCAAAATTCTATTTGTGTGAAAAGAAGAATAAAAAAAGAAGAAGAAAGTTGAAACAGTACTTGATCTGGCATTCATTTATTAGCTGGTTTCTCTGTGAAAATTTCAAAACAGTCACTAATCACTGTGACTCTATGTCCAAAGGCCTCCACAAACGGATGAGGCATAATTTTGTGCAAGGTGTCTCTATCTGGCCACACAATTGCACGCTTTAGATTTGCATATAAAAATGACACCATTTCATTGAATGTTCTGTACACTGTCTTTGGTGAAACACAGAAGAGATAAGCAAGGTGTTGTGAGGGCAGATCCAATCTCAGACGCATGAAGGTTAACAGAAGCATTTGAAATGGACTGAGAATTTTATTTTGAGCAGACATGAGAGGCAGCATAAAATTAAACAAAGCCATAAAGGTCACCAAGTTTGGTAGACCCGTATAGTACTGGACTTTTTCATTAGTGTCTCCAAAGAAGCAATCAGAGATCCGCAGCTCATCAAGTTCACGCCGCAGCTCTCTGTTTTCTTCCAAAAGATGGTTCATCTCTGCACACCTGAGCACACACAGGTTACATTCTGTCTGTCCTTCCTGACGACCACCTTCTGTGTCATCCTTGGTGTTTGGCCGGCCAACGTTTTCAGCAGCCTTCTGCGTGTCAGTCTGTTGCTGGTTAGGGTTCTCTGTCGCCTCGTGTGTTACTTCATCCTGTTGCTCAAGGATTTCATCAGCCCGATGGAGCCCCGTTTCAGTTGCTTGCAGGGCATTCTTTTTCAGCTGTTCCCGATAACCACGTCTTAAAGAGCGGTCTGTGTCTGTTGGTTTGATGTCAGTGTGGCCCAGATGCAGGGATGGAGCCCAGTCTGGGTCAGTCTCCATCATCTCATATGCGGGTTGACCTGCAAAGTAGATGAAAGGTTGAGTGTTTTACACATCTATTCAAAACACTATATAAAGCACCTAAATAACAGAGCCCATTAGATTAGATGTGTAATAAATTAAGATAACCTTATGTGTCCCACAGTGGGGAAATTTGCTATACCGAAACAGCACAAGTACATCGGACTAGTAAGGCCAGGGGTAAATAAATAAACTGAAAAGCTTACAGACGAACAAAGGATTATAATATACTTAAGTAGATTGCACAGGATAAATAAATACAGTGAGTTGGCTGACGAGTGGGTATGTACAGTGTTTTTATATGTACAGTGTATTTACATATATTTATTCATTTAAAAAAAATTGTATTGCAGATTGTGTAAATGATTATATACAGAGAATGCATTATTTATTCAATTTTAGCGGTCTAAAAAAGAAATAAACAAAACAAACATCACTTTCCGCTTCTCTTCCACAGCATGTTTCAGTAGGTTTACATGAACTCCTGCAACTTTATAAGCAAACCATTTCAGCGTGTTGATTTCTATTAGTGTATATTTATAAGGACTTACCTTTTTGAAAATGCCGAGAGCAAACACGAGCATGAGGAGATATTTTATGAAACGTGATGTCTTTCCTTCTTACAGCAGCGACCCATGCAGCCCGACGCCTCTTTGTTAAGTCCTCTGTCTGCGGTCCGTATTTTTTTTTCCAAGTGGGGAATACGAAAAACCGTAAGGCCCCATCTGCTGTTTTCTGTTTAGAATTACTGTTGCATCCTTTGACGCAGCACCAGTGTCCCATTATTTCCAACGGAAGCAACTAGAACACCTCTACTCTCTGTTAGTTTTCTGTTGTTAGTTGCTGCTGTCTCTTCACCACAGAAATGCCGCTAACTACCCTAAATGCATTGCGCTTTTGCGGAAGTGACGCACACTGTCAAAGACCGATACAGTACATCTATCAGCCACTTCATGCAGACTTGGCCACATGGCTCAGGGGTAATTCTCATGCGCATGCGCAATTCATATCACCAACCGCCAGGGATATATCGGTGAGTCAGTATTTTTTTTTTGTAAACCTATATTTTATTTGACTTTATTAATGTTTCCCTTAATCATAATTAAACTGCACAAGAACCATGCTGTTGCTTTACCACTGGCTTTGATACTGTTTTAACTTCTGTCATTTACTGCTCTCTGCCTGGGCCTCGCTGCTCGCGCTCATTAGCATTAGCCTAGCACGAGGCTAATCTGGCAACAACGCTAGCTAGCACATGCTAGGTGTTAGCCATATGTTTTGATTCAGCGGTTGTTCTGTAAAATATGTTAAGAACTAAACGAACTAAACGCGTTTGGATAGGTGAGGTCACAGCACTAATGGTGCAAAATAAATTACATGTTCGTGACAAACAGCTAATTTTCCTTTAGCTTGCCAGACAAATGTTAAAATTCGTGCTTCTTTACTTGTTAACGCAGAACTGAGTCCCTGGCTAATATATGCTAGCTGGTCCTTTGCGTTCGCCCTCCTGTTAGCCTCCGTTGGTATGTAAACGCATATTGATAATATAAAAAAAGTTAAGAACCGCTTTAAATTTTAGCGATATCGGATTAAGGTATAAAATAATCCACATGAATAATAGTCGGCCATTTGTAACGATAGGTCCCGTTAACGTGTATTGTTTATCTCCTAATCCTAAACTGAAAATTGAATTAATTCACTATTGGCAATGGAGCTTGCCTGTTCAATAGCGATTTAATTTAATGAGGTTTGCAGAAGTTTTAATAGTTTAAACGTCTCTTCTCAAAGCTCACGTGAAGCTCAGTTGGTGCCAAATCATACAGCAATAAGTGTTACAGGGTTGACAAAGAAACAAGTTATTACATGAAAACATGGATATTTCTTGATGAAATTGAAGCATTTAAAAAATATGTAGCTAGAATAGTCTCACATCAATTGCACTAGAGTTATGTACTTAAACTGACTGTTGATTACTGCCAATGAGGTTAAATTATATTTATTCATAGCAAAAATAGAGCAGTTCAGTATTTACAGAATATAAGATTGACGAATCAGAAAGTTACAGATCTAGTTATGGCGTTTTTCCTCCTTTGTTAGGAAAAGATGAACAAAATGCAAAGCATACACTGTGAAGCTACATAAAGTATTACTTATTTTTGCTGATGAGCAAACAAAAATGGGTGGCAGTTATCTAGAAATTGCATGAAAACACAATTATGTATATTCCTTGTAACTAGGTTAACACAAATTGTCTTTTGAACGGTCATTTCCGCTTAGAGTTGCGGCTCCACTGAGGTGGTGACAGTTGTAAAAAGAGGGATAGGCTGCATCAGATGGCATTGATAATTTTGTTTAGATTAGTCCATCATTGCCTTCCTCAAATTGGGCTTTTACTTTAGAAATATGTTTTGATATTGATACAAATTGTGTACCCTACAAGGTAATTGCATCAAGAATTTGTTTTTTTGCTATAATAGTCTTTAGGTTTAACATTTATATTTTCCATGTTTGGTTTTTCTGTTTTAAGCATTGAATCGACCTGGTAAACAGAGACTGCCCTAAAGCTGAATGAGGCATGGCCCAGTTCGGGGGACAGAAGAATCCGCCATGGGCAAATCAGTTTGCTGCCACATCCGTGTCTCAGCCAGGTCACTCAGGACAGTCTCTTGACCTCAACAGCCTGCACTGTGAGTACAGTAAACCAAAAACTTTGGGCTGTTGCAATCTGTCTTAGCTTTCTGTGATATACTAAGGTATATCTTTTTTTTTTTTTTTTTTTGCTTCCAGTAGACTGGAGTAAATCTATGTACTGCTATAATTTTGGTACTATTGGTTTTTTTTAATTACATGATTCCCCTAAAGAGAGTTTTATAGGTAATGAATTTAATTTATCCATGCAATTGAAAAGTTGCAAACAGCGATTTGCATAATGACATACTGACTGTATTTCACACAAGAGTGTTCAGATTTCTTTTGTATTAATCCATATCTATTATAGGCAGCTACTCTACATTAACTCTTAAAGCTAACAGCTTACTCTGGTGTCAAATAGAACAGACCCACCTTGAATGGATTAAAACATCTAACAGCTTCACTGACTTCATCATTATTGTTCTTGGTTAACACTTGCAGCTCTTGGGGTGCAGCAACAGTCTCTTCTGGGAGCGTCACCCTCCGTTTACTCTCAGCAGTCAGCCTTGGCTGCAGCTTCTCTCAGTAACCAGTCTGCAGCAAACTATCAGCTGTCCCAACAAACTGCTGCCTTGCAGCAGCAAGCTGCAGCAGCTGCAGCTGCTGCTTTACAGCAGGTCAGTCACTCTAGTTGTTCAGAGCTCAGGCAAAAATGTGTTATTGTCTCATATAACCCTTTAACCATTGGATATGTTCTCCTTGTTGCTTGCAGTCTCAGATCAATTCAGCACTTCAGCAGTATCAGCAGCAACAGCAACCTCCCCAGCAACCACCTCAGCAACTGTATAATGTACCTCATCAGGTGAATAATTGGCTTTGTCACATTTTTAATTTTATGGAGTTTTATGGAATTTTATTGTCAGAAATTTTATCAATCATCATTTTTTATACTGTACTTCTCCACATTGATTTTGGTTACATATTACAGTATTGCTTAATTTTAAATTAAATTTGTGATGTCAGTATGTTAGATCCTCTGTAAGCATCATTGCTTTCAATCAGCAAAATCATCAAAATTTGCATTTCCTTATGATTATTTCTCAGCTTCCTCAGCAGGCACTGATCTCTCAGGTAAATTTAATGCATTTAGTACATACCATTCAAACTGTTTTACTGTAGGGCTATGCTTCTGTTGATTTTAATTGAGTAACATTGGTTTATTATTGTGATATAATTTTATTTATATATATATATATATATATATATATATATATATATATATATATATATATATACAATTTTTGTAATTTCAATGTAATCTTCAGCCCCCCGTCGCATTGCCCACCAGCTTGAGCTTGTCCAACCCTCAGCAGACAGCTCAGATTACGGTTTCATATCCAACGCCACGTTCAAGCCACCAACAGCAGACGCAGCCACAGAAGCAGCGAGTCTTCACTGGTGTAGTCAATAAACTGCATGACACGTTTGGCTTTGTAGATGAAGACGTCTTCTTTCAGCTAAGGTGGGAAGTGCTGTCATTGTCGGATGCTCTGTTGTTTGCCAGGAAACAAGACTGGGGTCTATTTCAGACAATTTCCTCTCTAATTGTGCTTATTTAACCTTTCATAGTGCTGTGAAGGGGAAAACTCCCCAGGTCGGGGACAGGGTCCTAGTGGAAGCCGTGTACAACCCTAATATGCCCTTCAAGTGGAATGCCCAACGCATCCAGACTTTACCTCAGCTGGGAAATCAGTCGGTGAGAACATTTAGAGGTTGTAGTGCTTCATTAGGAAAGTACATTTTGAAATTGATGGCGACTCCCGCTGTAGTTTTTGTTCATGGTAGATTATCATATACTGGATACCAAACTTTGTACTCACAAAAACTTGAAGGAGAATAGCCTAAGTTAGAGTTTTTGGAGATGTTTGCCTCCTCTTGCAACAAGCTAAAATAACAGTGCTCTAAAAGTGCATTGGAAAAAAAGAAATGCATTGTAGTCTGCTGCTGTAACCTTACAATATTGCAGGGATTGAAGTATTCCGGCCTCTGGCCGGATTTCCAGCTCGTAGCGATTGCCCGTGGATATAGAAAATCACTTTTTAAAAAGACAAGCCTTTAAGGTGTAAAAGAAAAAAAAAGTAGAACCCATTAATCGAATCGTATCGTGGTTTATTCCTGAGTATCAAAACTAATCGAATTGCTAGGTCAGGAAATCGATACTGAATTGAATCGCCATGATAGGTGTGATTTACACCCCTATTAGCCAATCAGAAGAAGAAGGGGGCGGGTCTTAGGAAAACGTGTACTTCCTCCTCTCATTTCTTGCTCAAGTCGTCAGATAGATTGTGATATAGAGCTGTACTTAAGTTCTACACAGAAAGTCACCTTGCGCCGTTTACGGCTCCATTCAACGGAGAGACGTGTTAAAAGTAAAAACATTTATAAATGAAACTTTGTGTTTGGAGAGGAAGACGATAGAGAGAACGGGATTGCATCGAGTGGGCACAATGCAGTTCATGAACTCCAGCACGCTGTGCTCCAGGAAGCTAATTTAAGCATGAAGAGGCAAAAAAGTGCTACGCAAACATGACTTAGACCCTGGTGATGAAGCTGCTGTTCATGCGGTCCCGCACACTACACGTTTGCCAGGGGCTGCGGCAACAGCTGATGTAACAGCGTCAATAACTGACCGTGTATGGGTGTTAGAAATAAGAGTTTGTGCTTTTCTTACCAAACACTACCTCTCATTCACACTATAGTTGCAGTTTTGCCATCTTGTGGCCGTTTTTGGTATTGGATTTTCAAAAGTCAAATTTAGTCTTCAATCATTCATGCAATCTCGCCGTATATATATGAGAGAGAGAGAGAGAGAGAGAATTTTGATCAGGGAATCTTTAAAGATCTTACCTCTTAAATACTGTGTCACCCTTTTCAATTGTATTCAGTTTTGCATTAGTTTCCTTTTGTCTTTCTGACCTTATCCTGTTGTGTTCTCAATCCCTCCTAGCATCAGCAGCAGCCTCCGCCTTTACCTCAAGCTTCCCCACAGATCGGCAGCCTTTACAGTGAACCAGGAATGCAGCTCCGCTACACAGATATGCACTCTGCTATGGACAACAGACAAAATGTAACCCTCTAGTCCTGAAATACATATTTAAATGGCTACTTTTTCTGCTCACCCATTAGATTTCTGTCTTTGCTTTACCAGCAGTATACATGAACAGTAACAAACACACTTCTGTCGTTTTTCTCTTAACAGTGTCATATTTATTTTTTTTTTTTCTATATCCCTCCAACAGAAGCTGCTGTTTTTTTTTTTTTTTTTAGATGTACCCTACTTTCCAAACTAGAGAGAGCACCTCACTATATGCAGCTCCTACTAAGTTTTTTTTTTTTTTTTTTTTTTTTTTACTGGAAACATGTATGTAAGCCGCACCAGGCTATAAGCTGCTGAGTTCTCCCCCACCAAACCCATAAGGGGAGCTCTATTTATCACCCCTAAAGTAGGGAGGAAGAAGAATGCTAGCTCCAGTTAGCTTGTTGGCTCATGGCAGAAGGCTTCTACTGAAAAATGGGGCTTTGTCAGCTCTTTATCTCAGCTCTGCAGGAGTTGAGCCCAGCCTCTTCATTATTTCTACAGCTTCGCTTTTGAAAAAAAATGTCAAAATTTGTGAATTCGGGATATTTTTCTCCCTCGTCCCTGCTGCTAGCAAGTGGCCCCTTATTCTTTTATTAACAACTTTGACTCCCTCCTCTGGCAGTTAGGAAAAAATTAACAGGAAAGCTGCACCTTCTTATAAATTATGTTCACTTTATAGGATAAATAAGAAAGATTCAAACCTTAAGTTTTTTTCTGTTTTAGGACAACCTGCATAAAAAACATTAATTCTCCAGGTTTTTGGTTTCAAGCAGGCCTTTCAGACTTTCTTCAAGCTTCTGTCCTCTAAGCAATTGCTGATCGGACATGTATCTATTTTAGTTGTTTCTATTTATGCAGTCTTTGCCAAGTCTGAGGTTTTGTCTTTTCTACTGTTTATTTTTTAGGTTTAAAGTCTTCTCATGTTTTTGTCTTTTTTTGTTTGTTTTTTTTGTTTTCCACCTGTGCTGTAGAGCCAGGCTCAGGCTTCTAACATGATGAAGTCAGCCCCAAACATGCTGCAGTCGCTACCTCCCCCGACTACTTTCAGTGTTCAAGCTCAGAATCCATCCTCCCTGCTGCAAGCCCAGCTCTCTGCCGTCTCTCTGGCCCCGCTTCTCCAGAACCCCCCTCAGCCTCTGCTCCCACAGCCTCCCACCAAAGGTAAACACTCATGGCTTTACTGCTTGTTTGTTTTTTTTTATTGAATACTATATTAGATATAACAATATAAACACGGTTAGATAGTTGTATTTTTGTTTTTTATTTTATTAAAATGTCTGTAAAGCATTTAAGTGTTAAGAATAAAGCAAAGAAGGTGGCTGCTTTTTGTAACATGGTAAACAGAATATTTTTTTATCCCTAGATGTTTTTGGCGGTGGTCTGCTGCAGCCCCCTGTAAGAATAATGCAGCAGGCGCAGAACCTTCGCCGAATGGAACCAACTCGTTTCACCACTCGCAATGATCGAATGCCTGAACTTATCCTCAGGCCTAAAGAGGAACGCAGGTTTGATTGTATTATTATTATTTGAATGTGGATGATTGTTCTGTTCCTCGTTTATTGTTTTTGGTGACATTAACTGTGTTTTGATGTGATAATCAAGCAGAGATCGAGAACGCGATCGTAGGAGATCTAGAGAACGCTCTCCCACACGCAAACGCTCGAGAGACCGGTCACCAAGACGGGAACGCTCTCCAAGGCGCAATCGCAAGGCGGTTCCACGCTACACTGTACAATTTTCCAAGTTCAGCTTAGATGGGTTAGTATAATTTCTTCATCAATTTAAATTGATTGTACTACTAGGAACTGTCATCACTTATTAACTGCATTTCTTTTCCCCTTCAGCTCCAGTTGTGACTTGATGGAGCTTAGACGGCGCTATCAGAGTCTCTACATCCCCAGTGACTTTTTTAATGCCGTCTTCACCTGGGTGGATGCCTTCCCTGTGACCCGACCCTTCCAGTTCAGCAATGCCTGTAACTTCCACGTCCTGCACAAAGAAGTAGATCCTCCAGTCAAAAACACAGCAGTGCTGGACCCTCCCGATGTTAGCCGTGCCTACAGCGCAAAGGTACAGTATCCAAGATGCTCTGTCATATGTTGGGTTAAAAAAATAGATTTATGTTTTCAAAATGAAATAATTCCAAGGGGTTTTGTTTTGGCTCAGGTGATGCTGCTTGCTAACCCCAGTTTAGAGGAGCTTTATCACAAGTCATGTGCTCTGGCAGAGGACCCTCAGGAAGTCAGAGAATCTTTCCAACATCCCGCGAGGCTCATTAAGGTGGGTGAACCTCCTTTTATTTTTGCACATTGTGGAGAAGCTGACAATGCTGCCTTGGTCCTATTCCATTGCTGAGTAGCCACTGTGTCGATAAATGACTGATGTTGGCTCTCTAAAGTGAAAACGAAATGGTTTTTCTTTGTAGTTCTGGATCCTCTGAGGTATGAGCATCTCTTCTATCAGCTTACCTCTTTTATACTCTGTCCCCCCCAATCTCCCCTAATTTAATCTCTTTACCCATCTATTTCCACCAAATCTTTACTCTCTGGGTTTCCTTTGTTCCCGTTTCTCTTTTCCTTCAGTTTTTGGTGGGCATGCGGGGTAAAGACGAGGCCATGGCTATCGGGGGTCATTGGTCTCCCTCTCTAGATGGAGCTGACCCGGAGAAGGACCCATCAGTGCTTATTAAGACAGCCATACGTTGTTGCAGGGCGCTCACAGGCATAGACCTTAGTCTGTGCACTCAGTGGTAAGTACTGCTGTTGTCATCTCTTTAGTTTGCATCAATTTTTAACAATATTTTAACTCTTAAAATCTCAAATATTGTGTCAGTGACGGATTAATTGTTTACTACCTTGATATAAAACTTGTTCTATTATATTCCTTGTCTATAATACTCTGTTAATTTGCAGTTCATTATTATTTTGTCGTGCATTGTCCTTTTGAGACTTTTGTGTGTCGTCTTGGCTCTATCTGTGACATCCTGCCCATACACATTTTGTTGTGATTAAAAACCAAATGCTTGGAGTTGATGGCTGGAAGCTGTAGCCTGGAGCTGAAGATCATTACTTTGTCTTTTAATTTCGTCATTTTTCTACTCCTTGTTAAATATCTTACATATTTAACTGGCTTTCAGTGTCATCTTGATTCTGTCTCTCTTCGCACAACTCTAATTTAGTGCATTAAGTGTATCCTAGGTTTAATGCTGAACACTCATCCTGTAATTGGCCGAAATGATACCTGGGATTGTGTTTTGGGGTTTCATTTTATTTACTTTTATTGTCTGTGATTGTTTTCAAAATATCTGCCGTAACCTGTGACAACAGATGAAGAGCTGCAGACTGGGTCCATTTGTCTATCCCAAGGGTTGTGTGGGAGTTGGGTCAATGTAATGATTTCTGTAATCATTCAGTGACCGGATGGGAGGGGAGTAGCTGTAGACGGCTTGCCTGTTGTTCTGTGACCTGACCAGAATGTTCCTTTCCAATGCACCCTCTTCCTTTGCGACAGGTATCGTTTTGCAGAGATTCGCTATCATCGGCCGGAGGAGACACACAAGGGGCGGACAGTCCCTGCTCATGTGGAGACAGTGGTTTTGTTTCTTCCGGATGTTTGGCATTGTCTTCCTACCCGCTCAGAGTGGGAAGTGCTGTCACGGCGACTCCGGGAGCAGCTGGCTGAGAAGCTGTCGGCCGAGCGAAAGGAGGCGGATGGAGAACAGGCACTGAACCGCTAATCCTTCTCTTCTCATTTCCGCTTCTCACAGGAAGGCACAGGAATTACAAACAAACAGAAAAAAAGCAACATATCCCAGATACACAACACACACAAGGCACACCGCACCTGACATACACAGATGAATGAAGATAGGCATATTAATGTTCCACCAAATCTCACCTAGACTACTTCTGTTTCCTACTCTTCCCCCACCTGCCTCCCTCTCCCCTTTTTCCTCCGCTCGAATTCCTCCATTCCTTCTTCAGCACCCCCAGCCTCCCTCATATCCAGCAGACACATACAGTGGAAGCAGTGAGACTAGGGTGTGTTTTGCAGGCCCCAGTCGCAAATGGTGAAGCAGCTTCCAGTTTCTTAAACACCCTGTAATTGGGTGCTAATCTGATACAGTGATTGAACTTAATCTGTAGATTTTCTTGTGTTGGTTTAAAAGCCTAATCTGGCTTTTAAAGTTAGCTCTATGGAAATCAGTACAAATCAGTTCAATCTCTCGGTTCCTGACAGGGGAACTTTAAATTTTAAATCTAAGCTGGAAACTGTGGAGCCACTTGCGTGCACATAATGTTTGACGTAGAAATGTCTATAATTATAATTTTTGTTTTCATTTTTTTTCAAATCAATCTGATATCTTCTGACAATGAAAAGAGAATCTCCCCAAAGTCTTGTTGCTTGTCTGTTCTTATTGTTGGATTCAACTCTCTCAGTTGGACTGCATTTAGAACTTGGTTTTTCCAGGGCCGTTTTTATTTTTATTCTTCATTTTTTTGTTGGGGCAGATGGCTCCTTTCTGATGTAGACTGTTAAGCTCATAAATGACAATTCCCCAGACATAGAGCTATTAGGGCTACCCTATCCTCACTCCATGCGGGGGCCAGCCTCAGTTCACCTGATGTACCCACACGCCCTTTGGTTACACCTCTCATTGATTTTTGACCTTTTTTGTGTTCCACAGATTGATTGATTGGCAGCTGGGGGAAATTTCCGTTGTTTTTTTTTTTTTTTTTTTTTTTCATTTTTATTTCTAAAGAGCTAGAGACCTTCCCTGTGTACGCTTCAGTAGCAGTGGACTTAAACACAGTCAAGCTAACTAGAACAAGGCAGTGAAAGACAGATGAGACCTTGCTTCTTGCACGGATCAACTTTAAAAACTCTCCATGGCCAGTATGCTGACTGTTCTCCTACCTCCTCTCCCTTCCTTTTCTCTATTCAATTCATTTCCTATCAAGGAGGAAGAAGAAAAAGATGACGAAGAATCTAAAGATGACTGTGTTCCCACTCACTGGACTAAACTTGACCCGAAATCAATGAAGGTAAAAGGATATTTTTTAATTTCTGTCCGTCTGGGACAGCTGTTCATTTGGATTATTTGAAGTGTTTTTGCTTTATTTTGTCATAAGATAAAGTTAAATGTGCAGCAGTGTGACAAGTATTGATGTTTGCCCCGCTTGTAGGTCAACGACTTGCGTAAAGAACTTGATTGTCGCTCTCTGAGCTCAAAAGGATTAAAATCCCAGCTCATTGCCCGCCTCACTAAGCAGCTGAAGGTGGAGGAGCAGGTGGAGGAGTCCAAAGAGCCAGAGAAAACAGAAACTAAAGTCGCAGAGGAAGAGGAGCCGCCACGTACCGAGGATGACAAAGAGGTGCTTGGTCCACATGGCTTGGTTCATTTCAAGTCAGTTTATTTATATGGCGCCAAATCAAAACACGTTGTCTCGTGGCACTTTATAGAGTCAATTCAACCAGATCATACAGTTAAATGAATTCAAAGGAAAAACAGCTGAACTCGTGTTCAAATGGTCAGATGTTAAACTTTGAATATGATCAAAATATAGAAGAACAAACGTTAAACAAAATGTATGACTTAAAAAATATATATACTTTGCTTGCCCGACATGTTGAACAGGAACTTGCTTTTTAAATGATTTTATTTTATTTATTTTTTTACATTTGAACAAGCCCTTTGATCGAAGTATTTTATTAATGATCAGAAATGTGACATTAGCTCTTCTTCTAATCGTTGTTTTTCCCCACCTGCAGCAGCAGTGGATAACTTTTATAAATAGACATGGGCCATTTACTTGTACTAAAATGTATAAAAGTTGAAAAGGTTCAGGATTTTAAGCTGATGTAATTTTCCATCATAATTCCTTTATACTATCTACAGTCCTTTATAATGATCCATTAGAACAAACTGAGTGATCACTGTTTTCTACAACTGGATGGACTGGTATCATGCTGCCCCTGTCCAGACCGTCGCTGTATTATATGAAACTTAATTTCTAATAAAGTAACTGCACATATGGAACAGATTTGTTGAGCAGTGGATTGGGGATTTGCTTTCTAAGCAGATGCATCAATTCTTCAGCAGCTATGATAAGGTTGTTGTTGGCGTGCCTTATTAGTGAAGAAAAAAGTGGAAATGGGGAGAATATTCTGTGCAATATGCATATAAAAATCAAATGTTCATTTATTCTTTTCTAATCAAAAACAAGGAAAAAAGTAAAATCTAATGTGATATTGTTTTTATAGCAATAATAATTTTTTCCTCAATTTTATATAAAGAAAGAAGCAATGTTGTAACCATATTGCATGTTATGCCTGCTCAGGCCTGTCTGTGAAAATGCAAAGATTTATTATATATACTAGTATGAATCTAATCTTAATTTGTGTAAAAATCATCTAAGCTTTAGAAATATATGTATTGTTTTCAGACCTTTCAGAAAAAGACAAAAATATGTTTTTCTTTTTTTATTAGGATGATGAAAAAAGGAAGCAGGAGGAGGTGGAGCGTCAACGTAGAGAAAGGCACTACATCCTCCCGGATGAGCCCACCATCCTCGTGTATCCCAACTGGGCTGCTAAGAGTGGCAAATTTGACTGCAGCGTCATGTCCCTAAGTGTGCTGCTGGACTACAGACTGGAGGACAATAAGGAGCACTCTTTTGAGGTCGGACTGCCTCTCAAAGAGGATATTGTAAAAAGTAGCAACTCACAAACAAAGCTAAAATAGACAATCAATGAAACACATCAGTTAAAGGTATAGCGGAGGATTTTTTTTTAGAATGTTTGAAAACACCTGCCCCTCTCCACTTAAAAAAAAAAAAAAAAAAAAAAAAAAAAAAATGCATATGCACAACCCTGTACCCTGTTCCTGAGAAGGAACACCTATTTAATGCGTGCGAGAGCATGCATAAGCGCATTTCTCCTCATGCACGCTCTGTTTAAAAGTTGGTGTTTGCATCGCTCCTACAAGCTTACTTTCCAAATGAAGATTTGCAATTTTTCCACTATGTCAGACTCGCCATCATAAGTGAAAATGTTAAAGAACACGTAGGACGGCCTTACATAAACATATCACCAGAATGATTGACAATTAGGAGGAGCACTTATTTTGATGATCCACCCGGAAAAAGAACATCCTCCACTATACCTTTAAATGGACAGCATTTATTGGACTAAAAGTTGGAACATTTACTCCTGCAGGCTGAGGTATATTGTCCTGTTTCTGTACAGGTTTCCCTGTTTGCCGAGTTGTTTAACGAGATGCTGCAGAGAGACTTTGGCTACCGCATCTACAAGGCGCTCGCTTCTCTTCCCTCAAAGGATGAGAAGAAGGAAAAGAAAGCGAAAAAGGAGGGAGAAAAGAAGGAAGCGGAAAAACGTGAAATCAAAAAGGAAAAAGAAGAAGAGAGCGAGGAGCCAGCAGCAAAGAAGAACAAAGATGAAGAGGAGGAGAAAAGAAAGGTTGGTTTGAAAAACCTTTTGTTTTTCTTTTTAAAGGCTGGTTCACACAGAAAGATCAAAGGCTTCTGTGAAAGTCATGTTCCCTCTGACTGCAAATCAGAGGAATCCATGTTTGGTTGTCTTGGCACAATATCTGCCAAGCCGAGCGTGTTCCAATCACAAGCTGGAGTTTAACATTCTGAACTGTTAACGCTCTACTCTGTGCCTCAACAAATCAGAGAAGGGAGCTAGGCTGGGAGATGCTGGATCCAAGCCGCGAGCTTTCCTCTCGAAAACAATCAAACTAAGTATATTCTGCGAAGTTTACATTGAAAAAAAAAATATTTTTTTTTTGGTTCCTTCCTTGGCGTACAAATAAGTGAAAGTTCTCTGATCACTCCAATAAACTATTTTGCTATATGGATTGTGCTCTAAACTTATAATTCATAACTACATTAACCTAAAATGTCAAAACTGCAGGTGAAAATATTTAGATAAAATATTTTTACTCGCAGTTTTTACCACCTAGAAACACTTTATATTCACCTGCATTCTGATGCTTGAAACACCTACAGAATATGTAAAGATAGGATCATAATCCTCGTGAAGTAATGGCCTGGATGCATTTTTTGAGATTTACTTTAACTTTATTGCTTAAATAAAATAAGCAATAGCTTATTATTGCTGTGAACCAGCCTTAATACTTTCACAGCAGCTGGAAATAAAAGTTTGTTTTTCTACAAGTGTGAAGACAAAGTCATCAAGATGGAGTCTCGAGATGAGGAGGAAGATGAAGGCAGCACAGCCAACGCTGAGGAATATGACCCCATGGAGGCTGAAGATGATGATGATGATGATGATGATGATGGTAATCTGCATGTCTTTTTGTTCTTTCTCTAAAATGTGAAACTAAAGATCATCTAACAAATTTGTCTTTTTAAACTTGACACTTGGTTTTAATAGACTATATTTTTGTATTTTTTTGGAAAACAAAGATGACGAAGACTACAAAGACAGAAGCGACCGAAAGGATGATCATAAGTCATCGAAGGACAGATCATCTAAAGACAAGGTAGGCATCTCATCCTTACCGATAGCTGGTTCTGCTGCTGGATGTAGGTTTTAACTTTGTTTGTCTTGCACTATTACAAGAAACAGATGGTGACCCAGAACAGGGACCTGCTCATGGCATTTGTCTACTTTGACCAAAGCCACTGGGGCTATTTGCTGGAGAAAGACTTGGAGGATATCCTATACACACTGGGCCTGCATCTTTCTCGTGCACAGGTGAGGATACACTTGAAAAAACTCCATACCTGGAAGCCTCTGGGCCTGTAGAATGATTATTCTGTATGTTTAAAGGTCTATTATTCTAAGTGTAATTTGGTTTCTCTTTCTAGGTCAAGAAGCTTTTGAACAAACCTGTCGTTAGAGAGGCTTGTTATTATCGAAAACTGACAGACAGAGAAAAAGATGAAGCTGCACTCTCCTATAATGAAGCCCAGATAGAAAACCTTACTGGTGAGTGGTGTGCCTAAAACTTTCGTTGTCTTCATGGAAATAAGCTGCTGATGGAAGCTGCTCTGTTTCTTTTCCCATCAGGTAACAGAGCTCTGCTCCCTAGTGTAAAACCTTGTGCTTCATCAGAGCCCAGTGAGTCTGGAAATCTGATCGTGTACAACGGAGCCATGGTGGACATCGGCAGCATGATGCAGAAGCTAGAGAAGAGCGAGAAGTCTCGGGAGGAGATAGAGCAGAAGCTTATTACTCAGGAAGCCAAAATGGGTAAAAATATTTAATGATGCATTTTTCTTACCATGTTAGAAACAACCTCAGTACAAGGTTCACACTTAATTTAGACTCTTCTTCTAAATTCTCTGCTTTTGGAGACGTTTTACTTTCTAACAAAATTATTTAGATTCTCCACTGAAACTTAAGATTAATAGTGAACTTATCGTGTCTCAAGAAGTTAAGAGGTTTTCCTTAAAAAAAAAAAAAAAAAAAAAAAACAATTTAATATTTTCAAGCAGATCAGGTCTAATTACAAGCTGTCCAACAATAGCATGGGCCTGTTGGGACATTCCCACAGTAAGGTATTAAGGCCAATTTATACTTTTGACGCATAGCCTCTGCAACGATCAAATCTGGCTCTGTGCGCGACCATGCCTCCACGCAGAGGTTCTGCAACAGTCGTCGCGCACCTAAAGAAAAAAAAATCCTGACTACGCGTCGGACAGTCGCAAACCCACGCAGACCTCAAGCGGAAGCTCACGGACAAAAAGCAGCTGTGATTGGTCCTTGGTATGCCTTTCCGGCTGTCTGTGTGGTCGTCCTTCTCGATTCGATGCCGTGGCCCGCTATTTTTAAAAACCGAGGAACAATTACAATGGACAACTACAATGAAAGGTTAATCTGTCTTTTTGCCAACTCCATTAACAGAAGCTGTTCCTCTTCTGTTTAAATTATTTTATTGAAGGCAACATTAAGTATGTTTAAATCAGACATTTATTGGGAGTCTGAAGCGTTTGTTTTGTTAACCTCAGTTGCTGTGTTTGCTGTAGCTTAGAAACCTTCCCAATAAACAGCGAGAGGCTGTTTGTTTAGTAAAAGCTTTTCGATAAAGATCAGTGACTGTGAAAGTAGGTGTGATGGACCTTTTTAAATTTTAGTTGAATAACGTGTTATTCAGATTTGTTTTAAATAGCTGTTTACTGTGAAGAACATTACCTTTTTTTCCAAAATTTAAAGTTGCATGTAGTAGAGTAAGCTTTTACTTTCTTTGCATTTTTAATAGTAACATTGGTCATTTGTTGGGTGTGTTTTTCCAATTGTAACTTTATTGTTAAGAAATAATTTTATAATTTAAGAGAGATACAAAAAACTCATATTTTGTCTGAAAAGTGTGCTCCTCTTTCCCTTCTATGTTAAAGCAACATTTAGAGTTTAACCTTTTCATCAACAAAACAAATGCATTTAAAACTAGAAAGTGTTATGTATTATTCTACCAGTGCTATTAAAATCAATCAGGATTAAATAAGTAATTTAATAATGCAAGACAATTCATACTAATGACTAAAATAATTTTAAAGGATTTCATTTCATTTTGCTCAATTCTTATTTGTAAAGAGCTCAACAATAACAGAACATATTTGTATAATCTAACCAATACTGTTCAGTAGACAGATGTTTATGTTTATTAAAGGTTTTCCTTGTTTCGTCCAACAAAAGCCAACTTCACCCAATAATGTTGTGTTTGCCAAAACTACAGATGAACCATCCAATATTTTCTGCTCTATATGTGGTCTTATATTGATATAATCTGTATTTTAACAATTAAATATAGTCTATTTCTATAATTATTTAACTTTTAATAAATTAAAATTATATTAAAAATCTCTTGAACAAAAAAACATGATGTACCTCTTTATGGACATCTATTTTTGATTTCATAAATTGCTGATTTGAACCCTTACAATTGTTATACATTTGTTTTTTTCAGGGTGGAATTTGTCCTTTTCTTACTATTTTGTTATTTCCTGCTCTTATCTTGCACTAATATCAAGCTTCCTTTTGTACATGTGTGCTTTCAACCATAACAACCTTGCTTGTAGAGAGTTCATGAATGTCTCCTAAAAAATCAGCAGTGATGATGAACAATGGAGTGAACAGAGCTCTGGTATTAGAAAAGCACTGAGATCTGCAGATATCCAAATTAAAGTGTTAGAATCAGATTGGTAGTGAAAACATGGGGATCAGTCCATCTCTATCTAAAACAATCTCTATCCTAAAAGGCACCAATGTCCATTTTTAACATGTTGATTACATTAGTAGAACGTAATTACCTCTTTTTATCTCCTGTGTTTTTCTGTTAAGCAATGAGGAAAAAAAAAAAAAAAAAAGGTAAATTTTTGTCTTCATCATTATATCTGATCTTAATTCCCAGGAGAGGATGCAAAGTTGAAAGCTCAGTTAGAGGAAGCCAACAAAGTCCTAACCAAGGAACTGGAGGAGGTGACGAGCACCCTCAGTCGAACGGAGCACACCCTGAGAGCTGTGACGGAGCAGAAAACCATCTATTACGACTACATGAGAAAGTCTGCCAACACCTTGATGACGACTGTCAATGAGCTTCTGGATGTACTAAAGAAGGTCTGCAGCCTTTTAGAAATTTTACGTGCATGTTTTATGTATTCTCTATGAAAAGCCTAAACTTTTTTTTTGGTTTTCAGGAGCAAGTAGGTGAACCTAGCATGAAGACCAAGAGCGACGAGATCCAGACATCTCAGACAAACGGAGCTGATGAATAACTTCTGTGGATACATGAAGCCAACCTGTAACAATGATCTTAAATTGTAAATATTCCCTAAAAGTGTCACTTGAATCTGTGTTTTTTTGAGGCTTTTGTGTGTAAAGTTTATCTCAGAAGTTCCTCCCTGATGTGAAGTCCCCCCCCCCCCCCCCCCTTTTTTTTTGTTAACTTTTCCTAATTAGTCATTTTAATAAGGACAAAGTGTTCTTATTAAAGCTCTTATAGTTCAACTGACTTTGGTTTAGTTGCTAAAATCTGTTTTGCTGTTGTTTTAGCTTTGTCAGGGCCAATGAAGTGCCGTATTGCGGATTTAAATGCCAGTATGTGTGAGTGGTACTTAAGTTGATTTTCTGTTTTTAACTAGCAATAAAGATGCTATTTATGTGCTGAAGAATTCGTAGAAAACTAAAGAAATAAACTGACTTGAGTAAGAAGGTGCAGAGAATCTGGTTTGGTTGAGTTATTTTCCCTTTCCATCGTTCACCCTATTTATGTTTGATTAACATGCAATTGAAAGTTCATCTGTTTGACTAGTTTGATAGTTAGTTTCTGCTGTTTTGTTGTTTTTTAACACATGTGGCTATGCATGGCTCCTGCCTCTCTTGGACCTTTTATTCTGACTGTATTCACCCACTGAATGCTCTGCAAGCATTCTCAGATTTGCTGATGAAAAGAAACTAGACGTAAACCCAAAGCTAATCTCAATGAATGTGTGTTCAGCTGAAGGAATGAGCCGGAACATTTTCAGTTAGTTTTCGGTTGTTTCTAAGAAAAAAAAATGCTTGATTACATTTAATGTCCTCCAAAGTAGGCAGTTTTATTTTTCTAATGATAATGTAATCTTTGGATGTCTTGTGCAAGAGTAAAGTGGTCCTTTTAACACTACAATCTGCCCGTTTTGTTTGTTTGACAAAGTACATTATTTTTTTAGATTTGAATTAAATTGTATTGGTTAAACAGTTAATTAAAACATAAGAATCAGGAGAGACTTCATCTCTCATCAGTAGATGGCAGCAGAGTTGAGGACTTGTGTTGGAGCAATGTCTTTTGCAAAGCTGGAGAACTCAAGGTTTACAGTATTTCATGCATTGATAAAAAATATTAGTATCTGGGTTTTATTAATAGGTTATATTGGATCATGTCCTAATGCTAAATATTACCAATCTCCATGATAGTGTTTAGAAAAAAAAAACTATAGCACTGTTATATCAACCATTCAAGCAAATAAGGAAATGAAATCAATTAATTTGGCCATAAACATGAAAGCTTTATATACACTTGGACAAAGTTATCGGTGCCCCTTGTTTTATGAAAGAAAAGGCTACAATGGTCACAGAGATGGCCTGAATATTAAAAAAATATATATATGAAAATGAATAAATGACAGTCAGACCCACCCCTCATGAACAAACTGTTCCAGTTGTCTCATGTTTAAAAGCTAGCTTTTTCAGTAGGATTTAGGTTTAGGACTCATAGAAGACCACTTTAAAATGGCTCAATATACATATAATATATATACAATAATGTGATGTTAATTAGTCGATACAACTTGATTTAACTTGCCCCTTTGATCCAAATATTTTCAATCCTTTTCGAGAAGTAGTGATGGCAGTTTGATACAACAAATATCTGACCGGTGAAATTGCATCATGATGAACAGATCATCTGATGCATAACAGCTATGTGATGTTGTGGTCCTCCAGCCTCAAAATTATAATGCATTATGTTAGATCATTAAAATAAGTGCAGCTCCTAATTGCCTTATTATTCTGGTGATATGTTTGCATTAGGCCATCCTACATGCTTGTCCCAATTTTCATCTACTGTTGGTGAGGCTGACAGTGGAAAAATTGCAAGTCTTCTTTTGGAAAGTAAGCTTGTATGAGTGATGCAAACAGCAACTTTTAAACAGAGCGTGCACGAGGAGAAATTGGCTCATGCACGCTGTAGTACACTTTTATAGGCATTCCCTCTCAGGAGTGGGTACAGGGTTGCGCATGTTTTTTTGTTTTTTAACTGGAGAGGGCGGTTTAAAAAAAATTGTGAAAATAGTGATATAAAACGTTTTATATCACTATCAAGTAGCACAATATTTTTTTTCCAGGCCTGTTTCATGAGTTTCTTTTTTTTAATCAAACTGTTGAAGCTTGGTTATAAATCAATGTCTTACTTTCATTTGTGTATTTTCATAGAATTATGATTTATTATTACTTTTGTCAGATTCACATTTTTATGTGACCACTCTGTTTTGTTCTGTTTTGTTTTTTTCTTTAAATGCAGGGTACCAACAAATTTGTCCACATGTACCAACTTTTTAACTAACTATCTACAGATGCAAAACATATTTTTGAATATTTCTGTGTTGCTCAGAAACTTGAAAATGTGTAAGAAAAATCCAATATGAATATTATGTGGAATTTTGTGTGGCATTTTCCATGGAATAACTAGGTTGTGAACACAACGTAAAAGTGTAAAAACTGACAAAAAGTGACTATTTGAGTATTGAAGTGAATTTAATCTTACCGGTACTTTTTTTCACAGTTGCATCTTCCCAACCGTGTGATATAAAAGATGAATTGAAAAATTTATTTGTAAAGATAAGAAACCTGATTAACGTGTGCCTTTGTGTGAGACTGCCCCCCTGTCTTGTTAAATCCCAAAATACCAATTATTAGTGGGAAAATATTCCAAAAGGCATCACTTAACACCCTGGTTTAAATGGTTAGGAGAATAAATGAGAAACCTGAAACTTGCTTTTCCATAGCAAGGGCTCATCCAGGCAACCCAATAATACTACCCATGTGATTTAAAATTTCAGTCTAATTTACAGTATCCACACTTAGTTTAGTTTATGTCAACATGTTAACATTCCCAAGTTTTATAAATAAATGTTTAATCAAAACATTTTGCATACAACAATGTTTTAGTAGGTGTCTGCTATTCCAGAAAAATAACTCCCCCATGACTTTTGGCTAGTGCTGATAGAGTGATCTCTGTTTAAATATGTTAATTATTTATCCATGATTTCAAATAATCAAGGTTTTTGCTTTGATCTGTTGTTATAAAGACAAATATGAAAGTTAATACCTGAGCACTAACTGAAGCCTAAATGAGTAGTGCTGAAATCACCAACTGACGGCTCAGTCCCTATCAACAGGATGTTTTCTGTGTCATCTGACCGATGACTTCAGTTTGAGAGACTTTTAAAGGTCAAATCATTAATCAGTAACATTAAACCTTCATAGAGGCACATTTTAGTGGTTGGAGTAGATCCATTTCAGATGAGGGAATATCATTAATTGTTCAGGCTGTCAGAAGAGGAGCAGGGAGGCTCCGTCTGTCAGCCCCTGACAGATCACTTACCTTTGAAGCTATTATTATGCTGTTTGCTTTAAGCATAGTTTGCTTCCCATCTCTTTGGTCACAGGAAGAAACACGGTGCTCCGCTCCTTCCCATCCAGGAAGACCTTTGATTAAAATGCCTTCAACTAACCTAATCCATTTATTATGCCATCCTACTTTTATGTTGTAATTGATTTGATTTATTTAATAGAGGTGGCTTAAACATGGATTTTGGGGATTATATATTCTACCTTCAAAGATAACTCTATCAAGCCATCAGAAAAGTGTGGTTTATATTTATATTCACTTACTCTAATACCCCTAAAGAAGGATTACCACAACTAGCCTTCAGCTAATTGGTAAATAGAACCCAGTTATCGAAGAATGGAAAGACAACAGCAAATCTAAAAACCCTACAAAACCTTGATCGTCCACTTAAGTAGGCTAAAGAAGCAACCAAGAGCCCAATAGAGCTGCGCTGATGGAATCTATTGATGGAACAGCTGTTATTCTGCCTCAGGAGAAATTTGCAGCTTCAAAACTGTTTTCTAGGAAGAAAAAGGAAGTTTTGAAAATTGTGATATCTAATAGAAGCATGAAAATGTGCTTATAATCCATAAGGTTTAGGTGGATGCTGACTCTTCTAGCTAATTGGTCTGTATTTGTAGCACTTTGTGTGACTCAGTACTCATACTTGAATACTTTGAATCAATTTGACTGTATGATCTGGTTGAACTGTAAAGTGCCTTTAGATGACATGTGTTGTGAATTTGGCGCTTTATAAATAAACTGAATTTAATTGAATTGAATTCATATAGGAGCTCTCAGCTTCAGGGTGGTGACCGCTTCTATATCCCACAGAATGCATAAAACTTACCAAAGTTTATGGTTTTGCGTTTGATAGATAATTTTCCAAGAAGTTCCCGATCTTTTCTTCAAAGAGGCTTGCATATATTTTTATGGTCAAATGAAATCACCCATTATTTTGCAACATTTCTGAAAAAACCTTATGAGGCACTGTAGGCCTGCTGCTTTGACCCCATCAGAGTTTCATCAGCTGGAGAACCAACTACTAAATCTCCTCCCCTGAGTGAAACTGGATTGCTTTTCAAATACACCCAGGAGGAAACATATTTGTGTATTTTCCAAGAGAACAACTATGTGTCCCTGTGAATGCTCAACAAACATGCCCCATTTGTCTCTGACGTGAACCACGCTCCTCTCCTCTCCCACTCCTGCAGCAGCTGTATGCAATTGTTCCCAAAATGGTTAATGCATGAAAATGCACACATATGATGTGTGAAATTACACCCCACCGGAAAAGGACAGGCCAGGTAACCCCACGCCCAGGAACTCACAGAAGACTATTATGGCTACTCCTCCCCCCACCTTTTTTTTATCCCCACTAGTATCAGTTGAGCAGCAGGTCTAGTGATAATCAAGCCTTTTCAGTGGAGAACCAAAGCACCCGGGGGTTGTGTGGGTGGGTGGGTGGTTAGGGGGCTAAACAGCTATGGAGCATGTGCAGAAGCATAATAGGCGTCACATAAACTGATGATGCAATACTTTGTAAAACTTTTTATGTACTTCATGTGCTTCATATACTAGATGTGCTTTCATCTATACAATCTTATAATATATCTGACTGTGTGCTAAGGGTTTGTGTTTCTTTGAAGGGTAAATACACTTTTTAGGATTAAGCTGTATTTAGCTTCCATCATTCCTCACCACTTTTCTATCTCTTCAGAAAAAGAAAAGGGAAGGATCTCCACAGCATGGTACTCCTACTACCATGTTTCACTGTGTAGATCACATGTTCATGAGAAAGTACACATCGTCTTCTGTCACACATTATATTTCCTTATCTGAGATCTGCATCCCACTCCTCAGTGACACCCTCCTGCTTATTCTGGAGGATTCTAAGGTGCTCTGAGGTCAGTGGTGCAGTATGGTACTTTACCTTGTTCTGCGTCAGCCGAAAGAGTCTCCTCATATTTAGGCATGGAGGCAGTGAGAGAACTCCTCTTATTGTTTCTCTTAACAGGAAATGAAGCAGGATATAAATCGTGAATCATACGGTTTTATTTCAACAGTGACTGTGGATAAATGTAATCTACATTTTTCAGGGGTTTATTGGTAAAATTAGTCAATATTGTCATTTTAGAGCATAATATAGCTACTTATTTTAGACTTGAGTATAATTGAGTCAAGTCTCATCAGAGGAAGCTATGAATTAAGGCTTTAATTTATCTGCAGCTTTGTTAGGAAGCTGTGCAGTGAGGTTTCCTTATAGTTCTTAGACTGTGCACAGACTTTATTCTGTATTTAACTGACATGGTACCATGAGCTCTGCTGACATAGACCATTTCAAAATGTGCCACTGCTCACTCTCAACCCCACTGGGACTGCTTCCTAAAACCAATTTGTTTACTTTCTCCATTGTCCCGGATCAGTTCCACCTCCAGCATTAGCTCCAAAAACCCATTTAAAATAGATTCTTTTATTAATCTCTTTGCTCAGTTTAACTGACACAAATCTCCTAC